AAGCACTCAACCCACAGAGCCATATCCCCACCCCCTCAGAACTCTCCTTTAAAGCGTCAGCATCCATTTAGATTGTATTGTTGAATTGATCTGTGTCTTCAGTATCTTCACATTTCATTGACATTAATGATGATATTTCTATTTTTGTTGTTTTCTTCCTGTATAGTCAGTTTCCTAGACTGCTGTAAATCCTTCACTATCTGCATATGATTGTCAGTGCCAAGCTCAAACCCCAACTGAAACCTGTGTCTTAGGACGTTTTTCCTTTATTGGGGGTGCTTTGTCCTGCTTGTTTGCTGGAGTCTCTGATGGAGAGTCTATTTCAGTCTCTCGTCCTGGACCTCTTTAGTTCCCTAGAGAAGACCCGTAAGCCCCTGCGTGAAGGATAACGATCTGACACTAGTGTTTGGGAAACTCAGAGAGAGAGAAGCCCTGGGCATGGGAAAGGCGGCTTCAATATTAAGTATTAACGCTGTCATTTAATCCTCACTGTCACCTGTGCTCGGTGTACTGCTGTCTCATGCTCTCTAGAGAGCTGCCTTTGAGTCCTGCTGGGAATGGGAGGATGAGTTGTCTGAGAGAAAAGTTCTTACCATCTGAGTGTTTCTCAAGTAGCCTGTAACAAGCCAGCTCTCTTTTAGATCTGTCTTTTCACTCCAGTCCCAAGTGTACCCATTATTATCACTTACTGTGCCTTTTAAAATCCTGTGTATAATGTCTTTTGACTCTCAGGGTGTTTTCCACCACCAGGGACTGTTGCCACCTCAGGGATGCTAAATTTGTCTTTGCTCATCTTTTTCAAAAATCACTGGGATTTTTACAAATACTTTGAACTTTAATAATTACTTTCATAGAATTTGAAGAAATAAAATTAAATGCACATCTTCATCCTTCTAGCTTATTTTGGAATTTGGAACACCTCTAGCTTGTCTCTGCTGACATTTACTTCCTGATTTAAAATGAACAGAAACATTTTTAAAAATTTTATTTAATAACCACATAATTAGTAGAAGCATTTCATTACAACAGCATTGACATACTCAGTAAAACAGTTTCCAGAGCAAAGATGCATCTCTTTCAAAATTGGCTGTAATTTTTAGGTTCACAGTGTTGAATTAATACAGTTATACATTATTGTACTCAGTATAAACCCTATAAGACACAAAATTGAATGAGATTTTAACCTTTATAAAAGATCTCCATTTCATTTTAGAATATAGTTTCATACAGAAAAACTTAATGCAAATAACAGATGTTTGCATATGCGTCTCTAATCTCTGTATATGATTATTACTAGTCACAGTTGGTTACTTTCTGGGCTCCTTGGCACCTAAGCATGGATATAAATTCATCAGGTAGATTTCAGTGGTAATGTTCTTCATATCTACTAGTTAACACAAAGCAATTTTTATCCTTCTTCCTCAAATATTACTCATTTTTTAATTTATTGTTTTTTTTTTTTTGTATTTCATACAGAACATCCCAAACAATCTTATTCATCTTTATACCCGCATCCTAAATGGCACCCTCCCATAGCTCCCCCTCCCCACTGGGGCCCATATACTCTGTCATTCCTGTGACTGTCCACTGTGTTGTTGGTGCCCCCAGCCATTCTCCAGTGCTTGTCCATCTGCTGAGTCTAGTGAGCCTATCTTGAGTTCCTTGTTTTAGGAAGATCAGCTCTTCCTCATCCAGCAGCAATCAGTTGTCAATATTCCTTTAGATAAGATTGGGTTCTGCTGTTCATTTCCCCAGCTCTATGCTGGGTTACTGTCTGGGAGTCTCTTGGGCCACCCTGGCCAACAACTCAAAGAAAGGTATCTTCTGTCTGGCATTGTAGACTGTATGTAGACTGTAGCTATACACATGGATTCTTAAAGAAATATACTGATTACTTTAATCTTTGGCTATACTTTCTTTCTGGGTGTTTAAGACTATTCAGTTAGCCCAAACAAACCAATTTATTTTTACTCTTAAGATTTTGAAGATCTGTTCCTCAGTGGTCACTGAGGGCTTGGGAGGAGCTCCTGGCTCCTTTCTTTTACCAGTTCCATCTATGTGAAGATAAGTCAAAGGTCCTACTCAACCGTGGCTGGCTTCACTTGGAAGCATGGAGGACATGCTTCCTCTAGAGCACAAACATTTTATAATAAATTAATATATCCACATAGACTGAAAACTAGAAGGCAGGAAACATTATACACGGAAAAGTTTCTTTCCACTTTCCCCATCTTCAAGTTTTCCCTTGTGTTTCCTGTCAACAGTGGTCCTGACTTCCATGTGTCCTGGGGGAGTGTGTACTCAATAGAAAAGATGGTATAACTCCGTATCTTCCTACTGTCCTGTGTTTCTCCACATTATACCTGCTGTCTCAGCCCGTGTTTGCATTCACCATGGACTCTTCTTTCAGCTGCTGGAAAGACTCCGTTATATACCTGACTCTTCTTGTCCTTCATGACTTTAAACAGTGTTGTAGTGAGCAGCCTTGTATATGAGTTATTTCTCTCATCCCTGAGAGAAATATATGGAAGGATAAAATCCCAGCAGTGATATTTGTGGATTCAAGTATATTTGATTTATAATTTTGATTAATGTAGTAAGCTTTTTATCAGCCAGGCATGGTGGTATACATCTTTAATCCCAGCACTTGGGAGGCAGAGGCAGGTGGATCTCTCTGAGTTCAAGGCCAGCCTGGTTTACATAGTGAGTTCCAGGCCAACTGGGGCTACAGGGAGACCCTGTCTCAAAAAGAAAAAAAAGAATTGTATCAAGTATTTTGATCCTTTGAGAAGGTTTTTAATAAATGTCGGTGTCTATGAATAGAGTTTAAAGTTTAAGTGAGGTTTTTTTTTTTTTTTTTTTTTTTTTTTTTTTTTTTAGAACTATGGTGTGTGGAGCTCAAGAGGTCCCTGACACTCACTATGTAGACCAGGCTGGCCTCTATCTAACTGAGATCTGCCTGCCTCTGCCTCCTCAGTGCTGGGTCTTTCACTGGCTTGGAACTTGCCAAAGAAGCTAGGCTGGCTGTCCAGTGAGCTCCAGAGATCTGCCTGTCTCTGCCTTCCCAGTGTTGGGATTACAAGAGCATGCTGCTATTTTTTTTAATTAATTTTTTACAATTTTCATACAATATAATTTGATGGTATTTAGATCCCCTCCCCTATCCACACCTCCTCTTACTGCCTCCCCCACCCAATTTAATATATTCTAGTGTGTGTGTGTGTGTGTGTGTATAATATATATGTTATATGTATATATAATAAATGTACCTATGTGTGTATGTGTGTGTGTATACTGTTCCTTTAGGGAATCCTTAAGTCCTATAGAGTCTAATTTGTGTTCCCAAATGTTTTTCAATGTGGGTTCATCCATTGGAGCCTGGTTAACCTACTAAGAGTCACATTCTTGAAAGAGATGCTCTCTCCTTCCCAGCAGCCATCGGTTGCCAATAGTTCCTTAGGTAGGGTTGGGGGTTTCTTACCCACTTCCCCATGTCTATACTGGGATTTTGTCTGGTTTGACCTTGCATGGGACTTGTGCGTGCTGTCACCATTGCTGTGAGTTCATATGAGTAACTGAACAGCTGTCTGGAAAACTCTTTATTTCCTTGTGTTCATTCATCACCTCTGACTCTTAGAATCTTTCCACCCCCATCTCTGTAATGATCCCTGAGGCTTGGGAGGCAGAAATTTAATATAGGTGTCCTATTCGGAGATAATAGCTCTGCAGGCTCTTGTTCTCCTCTTATTCTCTCTGTTGTGGGTTTTTGTATTAATCACCATCTGCTGCATAAGGAAGCTTCTCTGGTGAGAGCTGAGAGATGCATTAACCTATGGGTACAACAATAAATCATTAAGAGTCATTTTAATATGAGAACTATTTTGTAGAAAACTAGTATTGCAGGGCATGGTGGTGCCTATCTAGAATCTCTTGTTTTAAGAAGATCAGCTTTTCCTCACCTAGCAGTAATCAGTTGCCAATGTTTCTTCAGCTAAGATTGGGGTCTGCTGTTCATTTCCCCAGTTCTATGCTGGGTTTTTGTTTGCCTGAGTTTGCATGGGACTTGTGTATGCTGACACTATTGCCATAGAATCATATGAGCAGGGTCCCAGGAGCTTGTAGGACTCTGTTTCCATATGGTCATGCACCTCCTCCCTGTCTCTTACAATCTTTCTGCCCTCCTCTTCTGTGATGGTCCCTGAGGTTCTGGGTGGGTGGAGTTTAATATAGGAGTCCTGTCTAAGGACCAGCAATCTTAATCTCTGTGTTTTGGCCATTTGTGACCTTTTGTGTTTCTGGCCCTCTGTTGCATGAGGGATCTTGATTAATGAGAACCGAGAGATTCATTAGTGTTCTCTTCATTACCCCTCTTCTATGTTCCCTGAGCCTTAGGTGTAGAGGTTGCATTGTAGATGTGTTGCTCAGGCCTGGGAAATTCATAGACAATGTCTGTGTATAGTTTTATTTTTCCTTTTATATTGCCACTTTTAAACCAGCAATGTTTCACTTCAGGTTTCTGTATTTTAGTATAACATACAGTAGTATGTCATGAGTTTTCTGTCCTTAATATGTGCATTTAATTTGACTCTCAGAATCATTCTAGACTTAAGTACCTAGTGGGCAATATAGGACATTGCCTTTTGATCTCATAGAGAATGTTGAAAAGATTGCGACTGGTGTTTATAAAACAAAAGATGTTTACATTTTAAAATGTCAGTCAGTATCTTCAATGTTTAAAATAGTTGTCTTATTTAGCTTTTCTTTATCTTTTTCAGTCAAATGTGTGAATTGTATCAACTTGTAATGAATGCATTTCTGTTGTAAATACATACATTTCTGTGTGTATAGATATATACACATGCACATTATTGTGTACATGCTAGGCAAGTGATTTGCCACTCAGCTACCCCATCCCTTGGTATGTTTTGAAATCATGAACTAATGGCAGGTATGAAAGAGTATTTCTCGAAACTTACGTTTTGTTTTATACTTTCTGACAGGTGCTCAAAAGTCTGATAACTTTGCGGAGAAGAGACCCCTTCTTGGTGTTTGTAAGAGCATTGGATCTTCAGGGTAAGGAAATTTAAACTGATGTTTTAAAATCTTTGTAACCATGAGGCTAAGCTTGCACAATAGGGATGAAAAAGGAAATAAAGTACATTTAGGGTTTGTTATGACTGCATTGTTACTGCATTTGTTTCTTTGCTTGATGTTTTTCATATGTAAATGAATGACAGCAATAACATCACAATGTAAATAAAGATTGTGATCTTTGAGAGGTGTTTCTGAATTTCTGCATTTCTAGCAAAGGAACTATTCTGATGGCCGTTGTTCAGTGGAAGTCATGATCAGGTGGTAATGATGATGTTCTTTTCATTATATATTAATTATTGGCAGTTGTGCATATTAATGCTCTGGCTTGTGTCTGAATCTACTCTAAAGGCATTGCATGGTTTTCTCTTGTATTCCTTATTGTGATACTGTGTGAAAGTACCATTCTCTGTACTGTTCTCTCTCTTGTTGTACATATTCGAACACCTGCTGACTGATCTCACAGTGGCACTAGGATTCAAACCCAGGCAGTCATGGGCTTCATCTCCTGTTGGTTGTATGGTAAGAACGAGAAGGCTGTTGCTATGAAGCCAGAGGTTTGCTCAACTTTCTCCATAGATTAAATGGGAATAATATTCTTCCCAGTGACATAATTTATTAGTGATTTTAAACCCTTGTGTATTTCCAGTTAGGAATATGGTTAGCTGTTAGTAATGTTATAGTGGCATATACAGTCATGCCATTAGACATCTGTTGATAGGCAGTCCAGGGCTATGGTCTTACTGTATAGCCCTAGCTGGCCTGGAATTCCCTATGTAGATCAGGCTGGCCTTGAACTCACAGCGCTCCACCTGCCTGTGCTGGGATTCAAGGTGTGTGTCACCACTCCCCGTCCCTGAAATCTTTCTATGATCTAGGTACTTTCTTCTTTTTTTTGTCTTTTTTTGTTTGTTCTTTTATTTTGGTTTTTTTTTTTTTTTTTTTTGAGGCAGGGTCTCCCTGTAGCCCCAGCTGTCCTGGAACTCACTATGTAGACCAGGCTGGCCTTGAACTCACAGAGATCCGCCTGCCTCTGCTTCCCAAGTGCTGGGATTAAAGGCGTGCGCCACCATGCCCAGCGATCTAGGTACTTTCTAACTTTGACATTCTTTCATTTCCTAATCTGAGTTGGCTGCCTTTTCACTAACTCGTTCTCTGCTTGAACTCTTAGCTGCAAGAGAAGTTGAGAAGTGACTATGGCTTTGCTAGAATGGAAAATGATCAGGATGGGTATTAGGCTGCATCTACTAGTTGCTGTCCCTCAAGATGTGTATTTTAGATTATGGGCCTTTGGGAAAAGAAAGACTGTTTTAATGACATGTTTAGGTCATGGGATATTGTTCACTTGTTTTTTGAGGTGTATTTTCACTTTGTAGTTCAGGCTGGCCTTGACCTCACCATATAACCCAGGCTGCCTCAGCCTGCTGAGTGTTGAGTTTATGGGGGTGAGCCATCACACTCAGGTAAATTATGGAGTCTTATTACCTTTTTTTTTTTTTTTTTAGTTCTGAAAAACTTTCTATTCAAATATTTCTTTGTATATATTTGTATTTGCAAATATGTCAGCATTTGTAATTGCTTTCTTTTTTAAAAATTTTTAATATTTTATTTAATTTAACATGTACAAAACACTGACACTTTAAAAAAGATCATCACTGTGGGCTGGACAGTGGCTCAGTGGTTTAGAACACTAGCTGTTCTTACAGAGGACCAGGGTTTGATTCCCAGTACCCACATGGCGGTTAACCACTATCTGTAACTCCAGTTCCAGGGAAATCAGACACCCTCTTCTGATCTCTGAGGTCACTGCAAGACACAGGTGCACGTATATACATCCAGACAATATACTCATACATATAAATTTTTTTAAAATTTTTAATAACTACATGATTAGAAGAAGCATTTCATTACAGCTTTAACATATTCAGTAACACACTCCAGAGCAAGAGCACATCTCTTTCACAAGTGGCTGTAAGTTTCTACGTTCACAGTTGAATTAATACAGTTATACAATATTGAACTCAGTATAAGTCCTGTAATACATAAAATTGAATGAGGTTTTAACCTTTAAAAAAGATCTCCATTGCTCTCCTGGCCTGCTCTCCTGCCCTCAGGGCTCTCTTGGGTTTTTGCTAATAACACTGAGATGTTGGTGCATGCATCTCTCATCTGTATGTATCTGATTATTGCTAGTCATAATCGGTTGGACTTGGTTCCTTGGTGCCTATGTATGTCTATAAAGTCATTGGGTAGATTTCAATAGTAATGTTTATCACCTCTGTAATTAACATGATGTAAATTTCCGTGCTTCCTCCTCAAATATAATACATTTTTAAAAATTTGTTAATTTTTTTTTTTTTGTGTGTATATCACACAGAACATCCCAAACCATCTTATTCAACTATACACCCTCCTCCCGGATGGCACCCTCCCATAGCCTCCCTCCCCCAACTAGAGCTCTTATACTCTGATATCCCTGCTACTGTCTGCTGTGTTGTCGGCATCCCCAGCCATTCCCCACTACTTGTCCATCTGGTGAATCTAGTCAGCCTATCTGGAGGTCTTTGTTTTAGGAAGGTCAGCTGTTCCTCATCTAGCAGCAATCAATAGTCAGTATTCCTTTAGATAAGGGGCTGCTGTTCATTTTCTCAGTTCTATGCTGGGTTACTATCTGGGAATCCCTTTGGCCACCCTGGCCAACAACTCAAAAGAAGGTATCCCTGTCTGGCATTGTTGCTTGTTATGTAGCCTTTGGCTATACATATGGACTCTTATGAAAT